GGGGTGAGGCGGGGTAAGGTACACTAAGCTAACAAGGTGTGTACAGGACTGAAAGAATGAAGCTGGAGAACTGAGTAGGGTTGAGATTGGTAGTTCTCAGCGGTGGGTAATTTTACCTGTTTTGCTTCTGGCGACATTGGGCAATGTCTGGAGATATTTTTGGTCGTCACAACGGAGTGGGGTGTGATCCTGGCATCTAGTGGGTGGAAGTCAGGGATGCTGCTAAATGCCCTACAATGCACAGGACATCCCCTAAACAAAGAATTATCCGACCCAAATGTCGACATGCCAAGTTCAAAAAACCCTAGCTCAGATCAACAGGGGTACGGGGACCTTGCCAAGGTGCTGCATAGGACACATATCAGATTTTCTTTCCAGAATGGTTGCTCTAGCAGGGACAGAGATGGATAGATTAGGGAATTAGGAATGATACATTATTTTAATGTTCTGTTTTTAATTATTTGTTCTTGGTTGGGATGAAAAAGATAAAGTGGCTGCTGATCTATGAATGGGGACATTCTTCTGCAGAATATTATGTTTCTTCTACTCTTGAAAAGTAGAAGCACAGGTCATACTGGCAGGGAGGGCTCAGAGACTGAAAATATTTTGGATTAAAATATGCAATGAACTTGAAATAATTTCGTCCTGGCCAGAGAAATGTTCCCACTTGTAGAGGACGTGATTGTTTTTGAGATAATAATTTGTGCTTGCTCTCCTTACATATACTTTTCATGTTTTCCCCTTCCCTAAATCCAGTCCACCCTCCACAGGCCTTTGGTGCTTCTTTCTCCCCAGATGGCTGTAGAGGGTGGAGTGAGTCTCTGTGAAGTCAAGGGCTCCCTGCTTTAGGAACAGAGTCCGCTGCAAACAACGTGGGAGATGGGCAGGGAGGACGGGGCGTGCCCTGACAGGGATAAGAAGAGAGAGAAATAGATTCCTACCGAACAGGAAAGATCCACGAGATGGATTGACACAACGGCCAAAACGATGGGCTCAAACGTACCAACAGTCACGTAGCTGGCGCAGGACACAGCGTCGCCATGAGTCGAAGCTGACTCAACGGTGAGGAACAGCAAGAGCCAGACAGGAAGATGTGAGAAGGCTCCGAGCAAGATCCAACAGTAAATAGATTAGCTGCATCCAATTTAGTGCTGAAACAACCTGGATCGAGAGGGTAGATACTGCAGACACTGAAATCGGGCTAGAATTGGGTAATGTGGTAACTTGAACCCAGGGAAGGGGGTACAAGATCGCCCAGTTAGAACAAGGCCTTGGGGCCCCTATGGGCATAACCAAAAAAAATCAAAACCATTGCCGTCAAGTCAATTCCGGCTTATAGCGACCCTACAGGACAGAGTCGAACTGCCCCATAGGATTTCCAATGAGTGGCTGATGGATTCGAACTACCAACCTTTTGGTTAGCAGCGGTAGTTCTTAATCACTGAGCCACCAGGGTTGGGTGGTGCAAATGGTTAAGCGCTTGATTACTAGCCAGAAGGTTGGCGGTTTGAACCCAAGCACAGGGGCCTGGGAAGACTAGCCTGGCAACCTGCTTCTGAGAGGTCCCAGCCTTGAAAACCCTATAGAGCAGTTCTACGCTGCACACATGGGGTCACCGTGAGTCGGAATCAACTTGACGGCAACTAACAACTATGACAACTACCCTTCCGGTTCTCCAAGGGTGAAACATTCTGGAAGCTCAGCACGTGGCCCAGAGCAAAACACCAAACCAGCTGCCAGTCACAGCAACCCCATGTGTGTCAGAGCAGAGTAGAACTGTGCTCCATAGGGTTCTCAATGGCTTACTTTTCAGAAGGAGACTGTCAGGCCTTTCTTCTGAGGCACATCGCCCCAGGGCTCACAAATAACTGGCGCTGGATAAATATTTATTGCTTAATTCAGCAGTCTGTGGCCAGGAGCCTAAAATCACCCTACAAGAAGTTGAGGTTTCAGATCAACTCCCCTAAGCCTCTTATGCAGGCAGTCCCCAGGTTATGAACATCTGATTTACGTACAACCTGTAGTTACAAATCAACCCCCATAAATCCTGTTACATTAAAAATTCAAGGTTACATCTAATGGTTTGTAATAACAAATGGACACTACTTCGCAACGCACGCTTGAAACGTTATTATTACAGTATTAATACGTTAAAGATGTTTTAGTGTATCTGAAAGCGTTTCTTTAATGTTTTTTATGCATAGAAAGACACACTATATACAATACACTAAGACAAACGTTTGACTAACTGATGTTAGATACAAACTGTACCTAACTGCTCTGATTCACATACAAATTCGACGTAAAGACAGACTTAGGAACAGAACTAGTTCGTAATCCGGGGACTGCCCGTAACTTACCTCAAACAGCTTGGCCTCTAGCTGTCATTGTCCAGCCGGAGACCTGGAAATACAGCCCTCATTAAATAACCCATCTGAAAGAAAAATGAACAGAGAGTAATTTAGGGAGATTAAATGGGCTGGGTTGGGGACACTTATCATCATTCCTGCAATGCTTCATCTCTGGGGCTGGGGAGAACGGCAAAGTTCAGAAATACCAGGGCAATTCATCAGCCCATGATGCTGACAGGGAGTGAAATAGTGTCGTTAGCGTGTAAAATATGGGGTTTTGTTTTCCCTATATCTGTCAATCTATTTTATGCTTGGTTCAGGCCTGCAGTAAAATGTGCAGGAATTAGCATAACTGCTGGAATCAATGCTCCTTGAATACATTTTCCGAAAAAATGGGGCCATGAGATACAGACGTTCAGCCCCAGTCGAGAAGTTTTCTATGCGGTTGCTTACCCCATAGTTTCAGGTTCATGGGTTTGGCCAAGGGAGGGATGCTTCCTGCAGCGGGTCTGCAATGGAATTAGCATCTGACCCATCAACTTACACCTTCAAGTGACCTCGTAAGTGGGAGAAAAAGCTATGCCAAAGTTGTCTGCTTTGGGCCAGCTCAAAGAAAGAAAGAAGTTACGTGCACCAACATGATTTAAGCTCAAAAACATGATTCTGGGCAAAAGATGCCAGACCCAAAAAAAAAAAAAAAAAAGAGCACATACTGTATGATTCTGTGCATATGAAATTTTTGAACCACTAACCAGAGTTGACTCTGAGTCATGGAGACCCCATGTGTGACACAGTAGAACTGTGCTCCGTAGGGTTTTCAATGGCTGATTTTTCAGAAGATCACCAGGCCTTTCTTCCCAGGTGCCTCTGGATGGACTCGAAACTCCAACCTTTTGGTTAGCAGCCAAGTGCATAAGACAAATCTAATCTATAGTCACAAAAAAACAGATCAGTGGGGACCCACAGTTGGGGGTGCGGTTGACTAGGGAAGGGACATGAGAACTTTTAGGGGGTGATGGAAATATCATTCTATATCTTGATAGTTCTGATGGCTTACTCAAGTGTATACGTTAATCAAAACTCATAGAATTGTACCTAAAATGGCTCAATTTATTGTATACCAATTATACATCATTAAAGTTAACTTAATAAAATCAGTATAATTTGGCACACAGCCTCAAAAGGCAAGTCACCATCTAAGGAGCAACTGACAGTGGATACACTCTGAAACTTGCTTACAGCTGTTCATTTTCTCCCTTGGTAGTGTACTGCAGACCAGCAGATACTGAAAAAGCAAGTAAAAGGGCTCCAGGCACCAACCAGGAATGCTCGTCCATCTTAACCATCTCCAGGATATTTCCAATAAAACTCATACTGTTCTTCCTCTAAATTCCTAGGCTCTGTGGGAACATGGACAAATTCCCTTGGTCCTTTGGAGATGACTTTATTCGGCTTAGGAACAGCTAACTGCTCACGTAGAAGTCAACATGAGCTTCCAGCAGGAAGTCAGGATGCTGCCCATTCCTTTCCTCATTTGTCTGTGCATTCCTTCCTCATTTCCTAGTGCCTCCTGGAGGCCAGCACTGTGCTCAGCAATTTTGTTACAGGGAAGTAGAGTCCGACTTTTCTAAGCACTTTACATGGATTCATTCTTTAATAGTAACTGTCTAACAGCCAGGGATAGGAGTCCCTCCCTGGGTGGCACAAAGCAGTTAAACACTCAACTACTAACCAAATGGTTGGCTGTTCGAACCCACCCAGAGGTGCTTTGGAAGACAGGCCTGGTGATCTTCTTCCAAAGGGTCACAGCCTTGAAAACCCTATGGAGCAGTTCTACTCCGCACACATGGGGTCACCGTGAGTTAGAACAGATTGAAGGCCACTAACAACAACAACGGCCAGG